GTGGATGAGCACTTTACACAGACATTTCTAAATTATCTGGAAGGATTTCTACTTGAGAGAAGAATTTAAAGATGGAAATGAAGTTTAAAGGGAGTAAAAGATGGTGTGTGAGGGGGAGTGTTGACCAGAACCGACACTCTCCATTTGAACCCAGCTTTTCCTCGGTACGCTTGGTAGTAAACTTGACTCATTACCTCTCTGAAGATGAATCAGCAGATATGGAGTTCCAGTTAACGCTACCTGTCTAGCGTCTCCATAGGATGGCTGTGACTCGTCCGAAGTAGTGACGAGATTCCGTCCGACACAAGCTCACCTCAGCAAGTGGACTTCACATGAGTGGAGTCCTTCAGAAGTTCCACTCAGAGGTGGAAGATGTTATAATCCAAACTCGGAAGAGCCTTATCATGGCTGGACTTCTGTTCTCCCAAACGACTTCACAGAACTGCGAACATCTCAGAACCGCGACAACACAGAACTTCTCAGAACTGGAGAACTAGGAAGTACCGGCATTTAAAGGGCTCTATTTCTGGTATATTTGATAGTTCCTGATTGGTCAATATCAACCAGACAGGGGTGTGGTTTGTGACGTAAGAGGTTACTAGAAGTCAGAAAACAGCAAGAATTGTTATGGAACAGATTAAACTGTTCTCAGAGACAGAGAGAGTTTTGTTTTGGCGAGTTTGGAGAAACAGGTGCCAACTTCTCTGTTGACGTCTGAGAGGATGTAAACAAGACAGTTGTTCCAACACATGTCTGCTTCGACTCCTGACCTTGGAAAATGCACACTTGCTCATTCAAAGACAGAAATCAGAAAATGCATAAAAATCTGTAACAGGCCTTAACATGAATTCTACTTTGCATAAGCAACTAAAAAATCATTGTTACTGTTTTACAGTTAATAAAATTGATTAGTTCACTGTAACATCTAAAATGTTTGAACTAAAACACTTTGATTATCAAACATTTGTAAAACAGGAATGATAATAGAAAAGAGAGTGTTCTTTCACTTGAATTTTCAAGAAAGAAAGTCTCAGGATGGGTGAACCTGTATTTCTGGATTCAAATCAATGAAATGACAGTTTCTGTCCCACAAGGTTCTTAAGGTCAAGGGTTTTGACCTTAGGCTTAGTTTTGACATCAGGTTAAGTTCACTACAGTATCGAGCTCATGAGTCCAAACACAAACCAAGCAGGAGGCATCTCCCTTCTCAGAGCACTCTGCTCCTCTGTCTGGTCTACCTCAGGCAGCACTTTGTGCATCTCCAGCTTAGTCTCCAGAGACTTGGTGCAGAACCTGAAGCCGTGCTCTGCAAGTTTCTCCTTGTTCTGTTTGGCATAGATAGTGGTCAGCTTTAGGGACATCTCGATGATGGTGTTGTCATCCTGTGGAGTTACACCTGCCAGCATGAAGCTCATCAATGTTTTAAAGAGTTTCTCTGCACTGTCAAGCTGCCCCTAAACGTAGGCCACGTTCGACATCTGGCTGTAGGTGTAGATAATGGCCTCTTTGTTGTGGGTCTGATGGGCAAGAACCACAGCCTGAAGGAGGAAGGGGGGAGCTGCCTGAAGCTGGCCACGATGTATGCTGAGCTTGGCCTATTTCAGCAGCAGGATCATCTCATCCTCCTTCCTCTGAGATTCATCCCGTTTGTCTTCTTCAGTGCTGCTGAACAGAGAGAAGGCAACTGCTGCCCATATAATTCTTATTTCTTATCTTCCTCCTGGACCTTCAAGGATCTTCCTCCTAGTGGCTTCATATCTTCTCAAAGTTACCCACCATGCCAAGATGTCTGTTGCCTCAGGAATAATCTGAGCAGTTGTGTAACTGTGCCTGGGTCCTGCAGAAGACTCGAACCTGCTCAAAGTTCGGCTCAGTAGTGCAGGTGATGGATAACCAGCCAGACAATGCAGTTGTGGACAAGCAAGATAATTTCAATTTAGTTTCAATTCAGTTTATTTATATAGCACTACGGGTGCTCCGGTTTCCTCCCACAGACCAAAAACATGCATGTTAGGCTGATTGGTAACTCTAAATTGTCCCTAGGTGTGAGTGAGAGAGTGAATGGTTGTTTGTCTCGTTTGTCTCTATGTGGCCCTGTGATGGACTTGCGACCTGTCCAGGGTGTACCCCGCCCTTCGCACAGAGATTGCTGGACATGGGCACCGACGACCCCCCGTGACCCAAAATGGAATAAGCGGGTAAAGATAATGGATGGATGGATGGATATATAGCACCAAATCACAAAAGAAAATGTCTCAGGGCACTGTACAAAAACATTCATATACATACAAAGCCAGTTAGTAAGTATGTGTGTGTGTGTGTGTGTGGGGGGGGGGGGGGGCAGAACAGAGCTTCTCAATTTACATATCCACCAGGTGCAATTTGAGATAAGTTGGCCTATCCAAGGTCAAGTGGGAAAGCCATTTTCAGAAAAACAACAATTGTTTTGGGCAGGCCGACTCTACTGAGTTCATGTCTGCCTTCAGTTCTGCTGGTACACTCAACGGCGAATCCAGACAGCTAGATTTGTGGACATTCCACCAGTTCGTGCTTGTTAGTCTCCTCCAAGGTTGATTCCTTCATGCCGGCGAATCCTAGGAGCTGCAAGTGGCCCACGATTCTCAGAATATGTGTCCAGCTTACGGATCAGCTCGCGAAGCGCATTAGTCTGAGAGCTTGAAACACATGTAATCCTTCATATAAGGTAGGCAACTTTACTATTGCCGAACCTGCTCCTGACGTCTTCCTAATTAGTTGATATCCCAGGTATCTGCCGATTCCAAAAAGCAGAAACCCTGTTATTATAAATCCAATTATGTATGCATCTTCTACATCCTCAACAGACAGCACAGACAGGCACATGAGCTTCCAAACACCCCAGGACTTCATGACATATCCAGCTGCATGTGTCCATTCAGGGCATGAGGGTTCTCCTGCACCCTGTCTTGTAGTCGAGGAAATTTTATAAATTGTTTTGATAGACCAGCTGACCCGATCCATAATAATTTTTGATTCAGAAAATGTGTAAAGAGAGGCTCTGAGATTCACAGGACAAGAGCAAAAGCAGGAGGGGAGGCAGTGGAGGGAAAGGGAGCGTCTGTTCATCGAGAGCAAGAGCGAAACCTGTTGTTGGTTTCAAACAATTTCCAATAGATGTCAAACACATATTTCTTTGATTCTAAACCAACATTTGTTTTAAAAATAGGAGGATTAGGACCTGACCAAATGTGTGTATATATATATATATATATATATATATATATATATATATTTATTTTTTAATAATACTGAGTCTGTGACCATTTGTAACTGATAGTTTCAACAGATAGTTTTCTACTAGGGCCAGCATCTTACATTACACCTTTCCTAATGAAAACTCTGATGTAAATGATTTTCCTTCAGGCAACTGTGGCTCAGTGGTTACACCAGTCATCTTTCAATGAGAGAGTTGAAGGTTTGATCCCACCAATATGCAGTTACTGTACATGCCCAAGTGATTCATTATTTTATGCAGTCAAGGATAGAACTCTGACCAGCCTAAAAACCTAGGTCTCGGTCCGGTAGAAGAAAACTCTAGCGCGGTTCAAGTACGGTGTGAATGCAAGCAGACCGGGCACCGTTCCGCAAGCAGGAAGTGGAGTACAGCACGGCAAACAAACACGCATTTTTCTTACCTCATATGGAGCCGTCAGCTTGCCTTGAGTGAAAAACAACATTCTCTATGGTCTTCTGCCTCATCTTTTGCTCATGCAGAAACAGAGACCATACTGATTGGCACCCCTCACCAGGTTCAAACTTCAACTAAAACGACTATTTCCTTTTCTGGACAAGACATCCCCCTCTCCACCTCTGTTACAAATCTTGGAATAAAAATGGACTCTCATCTTACACTTGAAAATCACATTAAGCGTCTGTTTAAAACCTGTTTCTTCCATCTTCAAAATATCTCCAAACTTCACCCATCTCTCACTTTTGCTGATGCAGAGAAACTCGTCCATGGATTTGTCTCCTCCAGGCTCGACTACTGCAACTCCCTGTTTACTGGAATACCCGGCAAAAACCTTCAGAAGCTTCAATATATTCAAAACAGTGCAGCCAGGATTTTATTGAGAGCTCGTAAATTTGAACATATTACACCCGTTCTCCATAACCTCCATTGGCTTCCTGTCACTTACAGAATTCAGCTCTCATCACCCATCAGTGTTTATATGGAAATTCACCAGATTATCTGAAGGACCTTCTTGCTCCATATTCATCCACCCAGTCCCTACGATCACAGAACAGTAATCTCCTCCACCTTCCACGAACTAAATTAAGGACCATGGGTGATCGGGCATTCTGTGTGGCTGCCCCCCGCCTCTGGAACTCCCTCCCTGAATATCTGAGAGCTCCACAATCATTGACTGACTTTAAAAAATGAGTAAAGACTTTTCTTTTTAAGCAAGCCTATTCTGCCTCCACATGTTTGTATCATTGATTTTAGTTGATTTTATTATTGATTTTATTTGATTTTATCTTTGATTTTAGTTGATTTTATCACTGATTTTATTTGATTTTATCTTTGATTTTAGTTGATTTTATCTTTGATTTTAGTTGATTTTATCTTTGATTTTAGTTGATTATATCATTGATTTTAGTTGATTTTTATCACTGACTTTAGTTGATTTTATCATTGATTTTAGTTGATTTTATCATTGATTTTAGTTGCACTCTGTAGCACTTTGAGATTTTTGTTAATGAAAAGTGCGTTACAAATTAAATTCGTTATTATTATTATTATTATGCTGAGTCCAATGTTGAAAAATTACAAAATAGAACTCCTAAAACCACTCACATTTGACACCACTTCGTTTTTGTTTTTATTTCCAGAAGAAGAAGAAGAAGAACTGTCTTCTTCAGAGGTTTTTGTGTTGTTTATATCAGTAGTTCTTGGTGCAGCGCCACCACAGGCGAGTGGGGGAACTGGTTGGTTCAAACAGTTTCGCTCAACTGCACAGGGCAGTGTGAATGCAAACACACCAGCTCAAATGTAAACAAAATGTTATGAATATTGGTCCCCAACCGAATCGAGTGTACTGGACTATCAGGTGTGAAAACAACATGAGAATCACAAAGTTTGTTTTCTCAGTCATCCAGGTATATAACAACAAAAAAGGTTGAATCATGTCATCTGGACTTCGTTTTTTTT